TAACTCGATCTGAGTTTTTAATTTCAACTGGCCAACGGGCCAACGGGCAGCTCGCAAACTTAATTAAAAGCCAGAAAGCAAGACAACCATTTAAAAATAACAATCCGCTGTCAAAACAATACAAACAACCGGATCCGGCGCGCCGCTTGAACGGACAGAGAGCCACACAAAAGCCTGGCCAAAGCGAAAACCAAATTGTTAAAGTTATAGCGCTATATAACGGTACACATGCACTTTGCATATGCCGCTGATATGCAACAGACTGACAGACAGACATGAGAGGGGGCGCAGGGCAGGCGTGGGCATGTTGCCCAGACCAACATCTCCATTAACTCTCTGCTAGAGCATTTTTATTGACCGTATAATAACAAATATCACACACATATTCAAAAGTAAATGTGATTATCAGGGGATATTTTTAATATTAAGCATCTACGTCATTTATCCATTGCATTGTTAATTATTGCAATAAATATCAAGTCTGAATCAGAAATGATATGAGTGGATAGATGTCATTATTCACTCACACCTCTTTCTGTCTATCTCGCTAATCATCGTTCAACTTATTATCTCTATTCATCACTTCCATATATCTTATTCAACGCTCAACTCCAAAAAGACTTGTTTCTATTCCAACTAACCGGCTCAGCTATCCCTTCAGTGCGTTAAACTCTACATAATTTAACAATTTACAGAAAATAAGTTTGTTAAATAAATATGTACACGAAATTTTTAAACAGAATTCAATTTCTATTGCTAGAATGTGATAGATATAAAATGTGATACAAATAAATTGAAAAAGTACATAAAAGATATATATATTTTTTTAATTTGTATAATTCTTGCGATCGTCAAGAAGATTCAATATGATAAACTGGCGGTGTTAGCAATAAAAGCATTCATCCAGGGTAACTGTTAGCCCACCTCAATGTCAACCTCCCTTCGCTCAGCTGATGGCAAGTGGAAAAACGCTGAGTTTGCTTTTGCAGCTTAAACAAAAGCGCACAATAAATATGGCAAATAATTTGAACGAGTTTTTTCATGCTCTGCACATGAAACTGTTTAAATTATACATAAAGGCTGCATAATGAAATCGGACAGCTGCTGCCTGTGCTGCTGGGCAGTTGGGTTGTTGGTCTGTTGGTCTGTGGCAACACTGGCAGGCGAAAAAACCCTTTCAAAGCACAAAATACAAGTCATTGTTTTGACCCAAGTCTGGGGTCAAGTGTTGTGGGTATTATGGTCAGCACGTACAACAAGCGAATGAATAACTGCAAATGTAACTGCAAGTAGAACTCTAACTGTACTCTGCCAGTCATACTTCATAACTGTGTATATGCATGTCTCTTTTGCCCACTCTCTGTGCCTCCCTCTCTCGCCTTCAACTATCTTTATCTCATTCTCTCGTTCTCTCTCTCTCTCTCTCTCTGTTTTGGCCTTTGTGCCGGCACATTTTAATTATTAGCATACGTACAGGCAGTGGCAGTGGCAGTAGACGCCGACAGAATTTTATGAGCTAGCGCTTTTTGTTTCACATTGCGTATGCGTAACGCGTGCGCTTGTGTCTTTAATTGAAAAAATATCAAGCATACGCCACGCTGTACCATTGTTTTGACGAGCCTTTGGACACTCGCCGGACGCACATAAATGACAGCTGTTGCTAGATACGTTGAGTTATTAAAGTAGCGGAGCGGAGCGTTGACATTTCATCCCCACAGAAAGTTAGCTGCAGATATTAAAGTATTGTAAATCATTTCGAGCTATGCAACTGAATGTGGAGCTTCGCCTTCCTAATGCTCTCCATTGCAAAGTTGTAGTCAAGCACTTTGACTTTGCTAGCATGCGGAGTGTGGGGCGAGCGTGTCTATAAGAAAAGTTTACCGTTCAACTAAACAGCCGAGTAAGTCATTGAGACTTACCAACAATGCTCTTAATTTTGCATGGGAAACTACAAAGTAAGCTTGTTAATTAAATACGCATTACCGCGTCTCTAATTGCCTGCGATGTGCTGCTTAGCAGCAACAAAAACTAATTGTTATACTAGACTGGCAAAGTTTTTTGTCGGAGCGCGTGTTGCTGCTGCTGCTGCTTCTGCTGTTGTTGTCAATAAAATATGGCTGAAAGTAAGCAAGCATTAAATTTAATTACCAGCTGACACTTTGACCTCCAGCGTGACGTGACTAACTGACAGACAAACTGACAGCCAGATTGACAGAGCGCACAGCAAAAAGCGTCAGATAATTTGAAATGCAATGGATCTATATTTAATGCAAATGTCTCCGCGTTCAATCACATTTAATTAGTGCGCAGTGCGTTTATCAGCCACTGCGGCTGCGGCGAGCATGTGTGGGGCGGTGGGTGGTGCAGCGGCGTGGCATGCCACTAGCTAATTCAGCGGCACCAATCATCAATCACAGTGCGGCAGCAATGCCTTAGCCAGGCAGGAATGCATCAGGCTGCGCACAAAAAAGTTTAATGGCTTCAAAAATCAACTTGGTCGTCGCTTGGCGCCATTTCACGTTGCATTGTTTGCTGTTGGTTTTTTTGTTGTTTTCGCCGCGCAAGGGCGAGAGCGTCTGGCTAAAATATGCGCATGCCGCAGGTAAATGTTGGTAATTTGTGACTTCCAATGGCTGCGCTGCTTCTTTTTTGCTTGACTGCAGAAATCTAGCTTCACCTTTCCCTCTTCCTTGTTTTTTTTAGCTTCTCTTTTTTTTTAGCTTGATGTCGACCATTTAACGCTCGGCGACATTTCAGCTGCTCTGTGGCGGCAAATTTATGTGGAAATCGTGTGGCAATATGCAATTGCATGGCTAATGCCGCAAGCAGCCGCACGATTTAGCACGGGAAAATGGAAATGGAGATAAGTTGGCTGGTGTGATTAAAAGTGGACATTTGTTAGTTGTGCCAGGGGTTAGCCGTTGAAATGCGATAGATAAGGTTTTTTTTTTCGAATGCACGAGAATGGGAATACATTTTTCTAATGTGTACTTATTTGTGTGTAAACAAATCTGTTCAGTACCCTCACCATTACACATTTTTAGTTGATATTTATATTTATTTTTCGTAATTTGTAATAAGTAATTTATGATTTTTTCCTCTTTTTGCCTATAAACTAACTAAAAGCTTCACTAATTATTTTGCTATCGACTGACATATATATCTACATATTGTTGTTATTATTTTTCCGTTCTTTCTTACAAAAACAAAATAAAATATTTAAACTAATTCTTCTCAAGAAAACTATTAAAGATCATAAAAATGTAAAATATTTTTAAATGCTTTAAATTCATTTCATATTGTATATTTCAATATTCATTGAGTGATTAAGATTTATTATGGTATTAAAAAAATATATTAATTGTAGTATCAAATAATTTACTTAAATTATCTAAGTTTATTATCATCAATAATTATGATTAAGATATGTTAACTATCATTCAATTTTATTTCAGTGAATACAACTCGATCTGAGTAGTTACCCCAATCAACTTATAACTCGTATATATATCGTAATATACCCTTAGTAGACGTAGCAATTTAAGAGATTACTAACAGTGACTTTAGTCGCCTGGGAAATATTTAAGCTCCAGCAGCTAGTCTTGACGTTATTTATATTCTTCGCAACTCTTAAACTTTTACGCTTAAATCATATCTGCGCTTATTGTTTTACCTGCAACTGTCGTTGTTGTTGTTGTTGTCGTTGTTGTTGTTGCATGTTGTTTGGCTTGAAGCTGGGCAGCGCAGAGCTGCGCTCTTATTTACCCCTTTGGCGCTCGGCTTGGCTTATTCAAGTGTGGCTTTTCCATGCGCACACTGCGAAGTCACTTTGACCTGCATGTTATTCATGGCTAAACACACATATCCGCGCGCACACACACACACACATACACACCGACGCAGCAGATAGCCCTGTCCTAGAATATAATACCGACAGCCAAGCCAACAATTCGGTATACTGTGCACATAGTAAAGAAAAGGCGTTGGCCTGTACGCGGGCATGGGCGTGGTCGTGGGCTTGGGCATGGGCTTGGGCGTGTGGGACTTTTACGCTCTAAGCTGTGCTAAACATTCCCTAAATATATTTTGCAACAGCTCCACCTCCACTCCACACACGAGATAAGCGCCATACATGCCATGGCCAGGAGGACAAGGACGCGCAGCGCGGGGCGGGAGGCGCGTGGGGCTGCTCGCTGCAATGAAACTTTTTGCACCTGCATATTTTTCCGAAACTATTCACAGTTGATTTTTCACCTGATGCTTTTCACGGTGTAGCGCACTTGTCTGTGTGTCTGTGTGTGTGGGCCAGTGTGCCTATGTGCGTCTGCAGATATATATATATGTGTGTGTGTGTGTGTTTGTAGGTAAGTGCTTAAAATATTTGTCTGCCTGGCTGTTTGTGAAGCTGTGGCATGCCTGGCATCCCGTCCAAATGTCCGACTGCCCAACGAATGGGTCGCTTTATAGGACTCAAGTTAAATGCAGTGCCGCTGCCTCAGCCGAGCCATGTGTATTGGTCCAGTGCCCCATTAGAAACCGGCCAGTGCATTGGGCGCCAATCCTTTAATGGCTTTCACGACGTCCTCTTGCATGTTTTCAAATAGATTACAAATGCACAAGACCTTCAGAGTCATTTAGAAAGCCATTTGCGTTCATTTTGCATTTCATTGAAATACTTAGATAGTGAATGATATGATATACATATTTCCAATAACACACTTTTAATTTAAACTTATGTATATGCTTAAGAAACTAGACAAAAAACAATCAATAAAAATCACTTATTTATACCCTTAAACCCTTTCGGGTTTTGGGCCCAGTATGCAGCCTGGACCGCTCCTGTCGGCCATGCATATGTGCACAAATACCAGCTTGTGTTCAGACTTATCTATATGCATTTTATTATATAAGCTTCGGTATTAAATTGCCCAACTCACACGTTTACCTCCCCCTCCCTTTCCCCCTCTGTTCCTCTTCCGCTCTTTCTCTCTCTCTTGCAGCTATGGTCTCCTGGGCGCCTCTGGCTGCGGCAAGACGACGCTGCTCAGCTGCATCGTTGGACGACGGCGTCTCAATTCGGGCGAAATTTGGGTGCTGGGCGGACGGCCGGGCTCGCCTGGATCCGGTGTGCCCGGTCCGCGAATTGGCTACATGCCACAGGTGAGTCGAACTCCATGTGCTGCCTGAATATTTCATGCGCTTTTTATTGCCCTGCCGCAGTTGGCTTCGTGGCTCGTAACTAAATTAAATAAATGCAATAAAACGTTAAAAGCCAGAATATAAAAAAAAAACAACCACACACACACACACTCACACACATAAATAAAACAGAAAACAGAACAATGGCCGAAAAAAAAAATTAAACTTTTAAATGCTGCAAAGCATAGAAGTTTTAATTTCGACAAAGCGCAGTAATATTTTCAGTCCCCGAGGCCCATAAAGCTGCATCGGCGAGCAGTGTGAAATGGAATTTGCATTCGCTCGTGTTCGCGCTCGCTCTATAATTCACTCTGAAATTCCCGTTTTGCAGGACCTGGCTCTTTATGGGGAGTTCACAATGCGCGAGACTTTAATCTACTTTGGACTTATTTCGGCCATGCCCCGCAGCGACATCGAGGATCGCACCGAATTTCTGCTCAAGTTGCTCAATTTGCCAAATGCCTCGAAATTTGTCAAGAACTTGAGCGGTGGACAGCAGCGTCGCGTGAGTCTGGCCGTCGCTCTGCTCCATGAACCGGAACTGCTCATATTGGATGAGCCGACAGTGGGCGTGGATCCGGTGCTGCGACAGAGGTGAGTATGAATGAGAAATGGAGTGAGGCTGCCTCAAAACATATTGGATGCCCCTCAAAGGCAATATTAAATAAGAATAGATGGATTCATTTTACTAATTAAAATTGATTTAAATAAATACTGACAGACAAAAAGTATATAAATTTCATACAATTAAGCTGGAGATCATTTCAATTCAGTTCCGCTTTAATGAGAAAACCGAAATATGCTGTTGCGCTTTTCCGCGAAAATATAATCCACGTGCGAAAACGAAAATTGGGAAAAGGGAAAATGTAAATTGGAAATCAGATAACTCAGAGACCAACGCCACAGAAAGCTACGTTTCATATAATTATTCTCCTTACTCTCGAGCACAAAACGAATACGTGGAAATCCTCCGAAATGTCATAAAAAATTTCACTGTATGCCAAAGTTTTAAGCTTTTTTCAGACTAATTGATTGATAATTTCAAATTAATTTTTAGTAAATGGAAGAAAGTTCAGCCATGGGCAATAATCATATTCAGTTTAGGTAATCCCTTGTTTTTAATTTTTAATTTTGTGGCAGACCACGCCTGGGGAAAATAACTAAATAATATATTAGCAAATCTGAATTTGTAATTTATTAAATTAATAATATGGTATATTTCTAACTAATGCCACTTGATTATAGGATTAGCAACAACATTTTCAGTTCGATTAAATATTGTTTTAATTTATTAAGTGTCTGCAATTTGCATTTAGATTAAAATTGAAAAGTTTCCATTGGAAATTAAATCTTGTTTTTGTATATAATCTATCCCTGCTAGCATTTAATTTGTGGAATATTTACGGAGTTGATGACATATTTATCGATGACTTCTAATAAGCTCTTTTTATCGTTACCAGCATTTGGGATCATTTGGTGGACATCACGAAAAATGGCCACACCACTGTGATAATCACGACGCATTACATCGACGAGTGTGCCCAGGCTCACGTGGTAAGCTCACATGCGATATCTAGTTGGGGCTGGGCATGGAAAGGAGTGGGAGCGGGTGTGGAGGTGGGAGGATGGGTGTCGATGGCTTTTTGGCGCCCACGCATTGTTTGCTCGCTTGATTTATGGTCGGTGCTCGCACGTCTATTTGTAATATGCGGCGTATGAGCAACATTATGCGCTTCAGTTGGCATCGGGCCGGCAAAGGTGAAAGCTCAGCTGTCGAGGGAGTTAACCATAAGTCTCTGCGCAGCGGCTGCGCTTATCAGCTCAAGCTCAAGTGTGCGCTGTCAACACGCGGCGCTAAGTGCTTCCTTCTGTTGGCCCATGAATGCGGCAGCGGGCCTTACCCCAGCATGTGGGACTCGGTTGCTTGGCAAATTTGTATCCTGCGCGGGCTGCAACAAATCTGTGTCCTCTCTCGCTCGAAAAACGCACAGTATCACTGGCCGTGCCGCTGTTGACCCATGGCCATGGCACGATTTACGAGGCATTTCCGAGCGAGACACATTGCAAAATTTACTTCAGATTTATTGGTGTTGCCAATGCGAGGCTCCATAATCAGCCAAAGACCTCGAGACTGAGGCATGGCGAACTAGTGTGAATCCCTCTTTGTGTATATATCCCCAGCTAATGCGTGTGGCAGACAATGAACTGTGCGAGCGACTGACAGTCCCAGCGAAATATGAAAAAGAAAAGCAAGTAAAAGAGATGGAATACTCGGAAAATACTGAAATAAAGCGTGACAAAGCGCACAAAGCAAACGCCCGTCACAATGGACACTTAGATAGACAGATATATAGATAGACCAACAGATACCCAAGCGACACGCACAGGATATGAACGCACTCACACGCTCGCACATACAAAACAAACAAATCCTCGCACACAGACACGCACTTATGCTGGTCAGGTCCGTGCGGAAGCTGAGCTAAAGCCGAGACTGTATATGTGTATCAGGGGCCAAGGCAAGATTGATGCAAAAGCAAGGACCTTAAAGAGTTGCACAGAGTTGAGGTGGAGCAGGAGATAAGCCCGACGACACGTGTATACACTATGTCCAGCATATGAAATCAGCGAGAATGATTGATAGCCCAGCGATTAATAATATTGCAAAACACTGATTTATTTGTGTCCTTATCAACACTTAAATGCCACCGAGAGAGCCCTGCAGCCGCAGCAACAGGGCTTGATTTGATACCTGTTTACGTTTGACTTTTTGAAGAGAGAATGAAAATTAAAAGCAAAATAACTTTCCACTTAAACATTAATAACAGCAGCAAAACTAAAAGCCCTTCCCCTCCCTCTTGACTCTTCGCTCGATTCAATAACAAACAAAAAACTCTCTGGAGCTAAGCCGTAAATCCCTGCCGTCTGCACAACATTTTAGTAAACGGCTTAAGAATCCTTGTTGCTATTGATTTTTGTTTTGTCTCAGATGAAATCGAATTATACACAAGATATATATATATATATATATATATATATATATATGAGGAAAGTGAATTTAAATCCATTTGCAATGAAATCATATTAAATTATGTAAAGCTGCTTATAAATCGGAGCATTCACAGTCAAGCCATCAGCTCGTTAGCCAGTGGCTTCACTGTACCTGCCGAGCACGCGACAATTGAGCCCGCGCCGCCTCCTGCCTGTCTGCCTGTTGGCAACAGCTGTTAGATACTTGTCGAGACACGATTCGTCCTCGCACGCACTCTGTGGCGTGGTGCTAAAGAGTTATGGGCTATAAACGAAATCATTGTGCGATTTTGTTTGCCACAGAACGTGCCGGCAACCTGAAGGCTGCTAGTTCATAAAACAAGGCCTCGGGCTGAGGGCTTAGTCAATCCGACCGCAATGCGTAACCCATTGAAATGTATCTTTAATGGCAATTGTTGTACAGTATTTGGGTTCTTAAAAAGTGACACACACACACACACACACGCACACACACACAATTGCCTATGTGTGCAACAAAGTTTCGTCCGACTTCTGTCTGTGTGGCAATTTTGGTGACAGTGTTTAATTGCTCATATTGAACACGTGTTGTCTCCGGCTCTGGCATCAGGAAGAGGGCTGGCAGGAGGCGGGAGGCAGCAAAAACCGGAATAACACAAAGTCCGCTTAGATTGCGCACGCTTGAGTCGACCACTCGTATTATGGCCGGCAGCAAATTGCTTTTTCAGCATTGTCACTTTTTCGTGCCACGTTTTTGCCTTGCCGCAGGTTGCGCAATGCTCAGCGCAGGGAATCCAGCTCGAAGGAGCCGTCGCAGCCCTGCACTCGCCCATATTTTTCGCCAATTCTGCACGTCACTTGGACTTCAGTTGTCGTGCGACTAACTTGTCTAACTGGCCGGTGGAACTTCGTCAGTTTCCTTCTTTTTTTTTTATTGTTTTTATTTCGGGTTTGTTCTCCTTCTGCTTCCACTACTTCCCTTCGCTCTCTTTTTTTTTCGTGTGTGTTCTTTTATTGTTGACTCAACAGAATTGCGTGCTGGCATCCAAAGAGCGTATGCATGCACACAAAAACACTTCCTGTAATATGTGGACATCTAACACACACACACGCACACACAGAGATACATATATACATATATTTACATCTTGACTGGGTTTTTCCTTTCGCGCAGATTGACTGAGACATATTCATCGACACTTACCTGGGCAGCCCTTTGCCGGCTTTTGGCCATTTCGTCTGAATTGCACTCGTCGTCTAGCTGACGTTTAAAATTTATTATTATTGCAAGCCGTGCAATTTATTAGCTGTAAATGCATTGCCTTGGCAAATATATGGCGAACGTCGCTCAGAAAATATAGAAAAAGTTATTTGAACTTCGATTCGTTGTTCAGCATTAAGCTGGATCATAAACTCGATTGCTGTATTAAACTTAAAGTGTTGCTATTAAATTCGATATTATTTATGGATTATAAAAATCCTTTGCGAAATATTTACGAGTCTTGCGAAACGACTGACAAATAGATTCTATATGAGTTGCCTGGAGACATGGCAAATCACATCAAGCTGATGTATCATCGAGAACAAAGGCATAATTTATTTAACAGAAAACTTTTAGAATGCAAGCAAACGTGACACGGATTCTCAGTACTATCCGCATTTATGAATGTGACCCAAATGAGCTTTATGAAATGATTAAGCAAGGTGATTGTTTGCTGAATGCACTACTTTCGCACCTTTATGTGCACGCATGCATATGAATGGCAATCGAAAAGTAATTGGCCTACGCTGCGTATACGTGACTCAATTCTGCTGATATCCTTACCTCGGTAGGCAGCTTACAGCGCTGTAATGCGATGACTGCAATGTCATATTAAAATGTCAATCGATTCGACCGCCATTCGCCCTCTCATACATTGCAGCCGCCTTGCAGGTCTCATTTTATTTGATATTCCTCAGCATCAGCAATTATTCAACTGTCCATTTGCATTTTTGGTTTTGGCATTAAAAAACAATTCTCCTGCTTCTTCACTCCTCGGAATGTATTTTGTGCTATGAAAAGGCAACATGCGGAAAATTACGCGACAAAAAGGAAGTGCAGCACACAGAAGAGACGGAATATACCATTAAAGGAGACTAGATTGAAGCAAAAAGAAACAAAAAGTAAAATAAAGGAAGGCAAACCAGCAAAAATGCAGAAACAGAAACAGCTCGGAGTGTCGCTTGGTGTCACTTGTGGTGCGAGGGGGGATCGTAAAGTAGTCTCAACAATATATCCATCAAATGTCGTTACGCTCCCTGATTTCATTTATTAGAGCAGAAAGTACTGCACATACAATTGGGTAGAGCCAACGGGACGCCGACGGCCCTGTCCGCCCATCAGATGCGCGTACTATTCGGCGTATACGCGATTTCATACGACTTCCGCTCTTTGTGCTGGCCGACGATTTCCCATGAGCCAAGCCAACGTTGACATTAAATTTAGGAGCAATGTCTGTCAAAAAAGAAACAGGGAAAACAAAGAGAAATAGAAATAGAGAAAGCAAATTGGAAAGGGCCAAACAAGGACAAAGCGCAACACTGTGACCGACAAACCGACAGATTGACAGTGTTGCCACCAGCTCTAATTCCTGCTGCAGGCAACCTGGCTTCAGCTGACTTCAGACGGGGGTCGGGCTGGGTGGCTAATGAAGCGAATTGCAGGCGTTGATGCTGTGTCATAATGTGGTGGCAGCCTTTGATGTGGGTCATTCCCCTTATCGGCATTTGCGAACATGTCTAAGCCCGGCGTCTCTGGCAGCAGCAAGTGCTTAAAAGCGTAAAAACTAATTAGAAAAAAGAATAAAAGAAGCGAGGGCGAATTCTTTCATGGGGAGAGGCTTTGATCGGGTCCATGCCAAGGCTGCAGTTGACATCGCAATATGGTTAAAAAATTCAATTTTATCTTAAATTGCAGGCGAATAAAAAAAAAAAAACATATTTTAAGCAAGACAAGAATAATGCATAGAAATAGTTAAGCAAATGCATTATAAATAGCCGCCTCGCACAATTTAGCTTGAGTCAACTGCTTAAGCTTCTCTTCTCTCCATGTGTATGCAAATAGATCCAACCCATTCATGCAATATACGGAAAATGCAAAAAATGCCTTGGGTAACGCCCATGCGCCCTTCTCGTATATCATTTTTCAATTTCCGCTTTCATGCGAGTAAAAAAGTCGAGAGGCAAGTTCTCTAAGCTCTGAGCAGACTATTTAATACACTTTCGAGACTTTAATGTTGCATACATAGTAAAAAAATTTAAATGTTATAATAAGTAAAGATATTTAAATACATAAATGTAACTAAACTAGATAGGAAAAATAATTCTTTTCCCTAGAAGTCTTTCATTTCCCATTAGTCTATCTCTCTCTCTCTCTCTCTCGCTCTCCCTGTATTTCTCACTCTCTCTCTCTCTCTCACGCTCTCTCACTCTCTCTCTCTCTCAATAGCAGATAGGAGAATGTATAAAAAGAGTTTTCCCATTTTATTAGCTACATATGCTTACATAAATCTTACATACTTTATGTTCATTCAACATTCTCAATATGAGTGTATATAAAATTTCGAGGAAAGATAATATTAGCCGCTGCTGGGGCAAAAAATATGAAGGGAATTATTTATGGCATGTGGAATTCAGACCTATATTAAATGCTGATCACATCGAGGGCCATAAAAGTGCAATTGCCGGGGCCGGGCGGACGTCGTAGAGTTGGTGCCTCGCCTCTGCATCGGCATTCAATTAGGAAGTTAATTGGTCGCTCCATAGACGAATTACCAAATACAACAGCCGATGGGCAGGCCGGAGGAAACAACCGATTTCCGAAAGACTGAGGATAGAATCAAATCAAGCAGCAAAACTTTTCTAACTAGCTACAGTTTGTTCGTGTGTGTGTGAATTAGCCTTTGCGTGCGTGCGTGTGTGCGTGCATGAGTGTGTGTGTGTAGCATATTTCACATGAAATCTCCATGTGCAGGAGCTGGAACTAGCGCTGTATCCACTCATGTGCATGCCTAATGAAGCCATCCAGAGCACAAGAATTGATGAGCCAGCAGTTGGCCATGAAGATGTTGGCCAAGTTTTATAAAGGAGGCAAACTTTGACGGCCAAACTGAGGGCGTTCAGCCAGTCTGTGTGCTGGAACAACATCCTGAGCTGGCCTAATATGTTGCTCTGTATGCCTGGTCATGTACGACACAGAAATCAATTAACTTAATTTCCGCACGTTGTGACAAAGTGGCGGGCGGATTAGCTGCCAGTAGCACGAGGGGGGCGCCGCCAAAGGACAGTCAATAAAACTTTTCAACAACAACAACTACAACAATAACAACAGGATGTGCATAATTCTGCCATTGTGCGCACACAAAAAACTTTTTGCCCAAACAAGCCAGGAATTGACAATGCACAGCTCAACCTGAAGCGTGCCTCGGGCAGGGAGCGCAGGGCGTGCTGGGCGAGGGCGGAATCTACGATTCGCTGTCAAAGTCAAAAGTTGAATTTACTTGGCGACACTTCTCCCTCAAATTTGAATCAATTTAACTCGACAATTGTTGTCCTTGCAGATTGGTTTGCTGCGCGGCGGCAAAATGCTTGCCGAGGAGTCGCCCGACTACCTGCGCCAACAGTACAACGCCGACTCGCTGGAGGATGTGTTCCTCAAGCTCTCCGTCATGCAGAACATGGGCAAGCGCCGGCGCTCATCCATCGCACAGGAGATTGTGGAGCAGGTGACGGTGCCGGCCATTTCGAATCCGGCGCTGGACATGTCCGATGAGCAGCATGCCGCGGAGATCTCAGGCGAGTTCGGCGATAATATATCCATGACATCGGCCGCCCGTGATCCCATCAGCAGCACAGCGCCCGCTGCACCGCCGCTGCCGCCAGTGGAGGAGATGAAAACGTCGTTCTGGTACAATTTGCATGTGATGCAGTCGCATCATCTGCACGCGCTCATCTGGAAAAACTTTTTATGGATGATGCGCAACGTAGGGTAAGTAATTGGCCGGCAAATCAGCTTGACCATGTGACTGACTAACTAACTAACTGATTCGCCTCCAGAATAATGCTGTTCATCGTGGGTCTGCCGGTGGTGCAGATATTGCTGTTCTGCTATGCGATTGGCCATGATCCCACCGGCCTCAGAGTGGCCGTGGCGAATCACGAGATGACCGAGGAAATGATTATGCAACAATTCTGTCCAGTGCACACCGGATGCAATCGGACCATGCTCAGCTGCCGTTATCTCGATATGCTGGTCAAGAACAAGAGCATGGTTGTGGTGAGTACATGCCATGCAAATTACCCTGGGGCCCACACAGTGGGAAGGCAGGACAGGGAAGGGCAGGGCAGGACAGATGCTCTCGTTGCTGGCTTCTGCTTAAATTGTGCAATGCGAGCCGGGCCACAAGTACAATAACCACTCATGTTACAATCTTCTTGCTGCTGCTGCTGCTGCTGTTGCTATTGCTATTGCTTATTGAAGGACGTCGAGACGATGGTTCGACCCTGCCGGCCATTCGTGTAATTTATTTCAATTTGTGTGGACAGCAAAGCTGGTCAGCCGCCGTGTGCATGCTCCTCAATCTACTGCACACTGCGCCTGTCCGCCCCTGGCTCGTGTTGCCGGACTCCTAAATCAAGTGCCTGACTCCCAGAGCCATATCCAGATTCCCCCTTTGGAGTTGGCACCGTCTTGGCTGCTGCTGCTGCTGTTGTTGTTGTTGTTGTTGTTGTTGTTGTTGTTGCTGCCTTTGGTGTTGGCGCACACAAATTACAGCTGCTTATCTTTGGCAACAGCAACAACAGGCTGACTGTATGGCACTATGGCAGTTGGCCACTCGGCCAGTTGGGCAGTCGGCTGGCTGGTCGAGATCATCAATAAATTTACTGGCTGTAGGGCGAAAGTAGTAGTTGAAAGCCAGCCCCAGTGCAAAAGAACTGCCCCTCCTGGCAATTTATTGCAAATTACGCTTCAACAACAACAATGCCTTCGTCTTGCGTTAATTTGGAAGACATCGAAGCTTTTCAATACAAAAAGTTAAACTAGGCTTGCTAGACTTGTGAGAGTGTGGCCGTAATAGACTATTTATATTTTTTAAAAGTCATACTCATTCATTTTCGATTTATTTAAAGACTTCAGTTGCCTGCGCAGTCTTTGATAATTGCTAATTAATAATTAATTACCTGGCATCTAAGGAAATCAATCAAGATTAGCGAATAAACTTTGCTGCAACATCAATAGTAAAGTTTGACCGCAGAGAAGTAAATTGAGAGCCCGAGGCACGACCTGTTTCGACAGTAGCTACAAATTTAGTGTTTTTCCTAGAAGGAAAAAGAACAAAATTATTGTAATAACAATAAAAACAAGGCAACCGAGCTGCAGCAGCAACAAAAAGCCGCACGCTGCCAACTGCCAATTTGCAAAGTCAGGCTGGATGCGAAAACTTTTATTTAGGCTGGAATATTGAAAAGCCCGGTCAACCGCCAACGTCCCCTTATCACTCTTAATTTGTTCAAATTTCAGCTAAGATAAAAAATAGAATAAAATACGAATACACGACTGGCGTATCTCCATAGCGCATCTGCTGTTGGTCCCAAAAACTGGCTGCGCCTTTTCTTTTTTTTTTGTCTGGGTCCTGCTCATTGTGTCTCCCTCACCTTGTTGTTGGCGAACCCAAAAGTTAATTTTGCTCAATGAACAGCATATCAAGCAGCCATCAGCACGTGGCCAGCAGCAACAACAACCACAACAACAGCAACAATACCCACGCAATGCCGTTTACCCCTCGGCGCCTGCAGCCCTGCGACTGCCTTTGGCATTTGAAATTTGAATTTCTTGCTGCTGCTGCCGTTGCCCGCGTATTGACAGCCTTTCAATAGTTGGCCACGTTCCCTTTTTTTTCCCCACTTTTCAAGCAGACACAGTAGACAGACAGTAGCGGCTTCTGGTGGCTCTTTCCACTAAAAGAAAAAAAAAAAAATATTATTTATATTTTTCTCTTTAATATTTTACTAAGTCTCCGCTTGCTTTGTGGCTTGTCTAGATCAAAGGCAGTGGCCCGTCCCCGTATTATCTGAGAGGCGACCCTTTTGCCACAACCCGGGGCGCCGCGCCCGAGTCAAAGGCGGCCCCTTAACAGCCCCGTTGGCACTTTTGGCTTTTAATTTATGTCGAAAATTGCACAACGTATTGTGGGCGGGGCTCCAATTGTTGTTGTCGCTGTGGCTTTTAATTAAAAGTTCATTAGGCGTGACAACGCTGCTCATTAGACGGCGTTTGTGGCGGGTCTAGAGCCGGAGCCGGAGCCGGAGCTGGAGCTGGAGCTGGGGCAAAGTGCAGCGAGTTTATTGTGTGCACTTGATTAGCGACAAGCTTTGGCTTAAAGTGAAGCACCTTCTCTATGCGGCTTTATTTTATGGACAGAAAATAAGCAAACAAAAAATGAAGTGTAAGCAAAAATTCCATAGCTTTGCCACAAACTTTTCACCTGCTTCTGTCTCCAACTCATTTGCGTAGGGCTGCAACTTGGTCTATTCGGAAAGCAGAAGCTGTTCGCCTAGCTTGCCTTGCCCCCATCTCATTTGCCGTCCAAGTTGAGTTCATTTGCGCATAGTTTGTGGCTCAAGTTTGTCATAAACAATGTTGATCTTAGGGTTCAGCCAAAGCATAAAAGTTGTCAACTCTGCTAAATTGATTGCCTCTTGTTGCGACAACTCTCGGCTCCCTGATTGAGTTTGTTGCGCATAAATTAAATGTCCTCAGTTTGATTGTTATATATCTCTTTTTTCGGCCAGCCCTTGAGCTATGTATTAACTGAGGATAATCACTAGCTTCGAAGTGCTCACATCTATCGATTGAGCTGTTATCTGTGATGTCCCGCAATTAGATGCCGAAATCATTCAATTGACATCTCCATTCGACCTGACAGTAAATACTATAAATTTACTAAAATTATGTAGGCCAAGTTTTGGGCCAGTTAGTTCGATTAAGCATTAAATTTAATGGAGCTTATCGACGTGTTCAGCTGTATAACCACAGGCATGCCCTCAAGATGTGCTCATAACTAAATACGTATGTGTGTGTGTGTGTGTGTGTGTGTGTGAGTGTAAATGACTTCATTTGTCCAAACATTAGTGTAGTAATTCCGTAAATTTCACGCCCATTGTTCCAGTCTCCCTGTCTCGGTTTAAATAGAAGCCACAAGATTGCTAAAGCTTAGCCCCAATACAAATGCCAATACATGTGCCAGTATTTATTGGTGTTGTCCTAGCCGCTGCTGCTGTCTGTGGGTTATTCCATGTACATAAGTGGCTGCCAAAACTTTAGGCAAAGTTGCGGCCCTGAAAGTTGCCCGGACCAACATAATCAATGTAGGAGCGCTCACAAGCACTGGCACTGGCACTGGCTTAGGCTCAAGGATATGCGGGGCGTAAATTTCTGAAACAGCTTTACTCTCTGCATACACTTCATTATTTACTTTTTGTTGTACGCGGCACAGAGGCTGAGTACAACAAAGAAAAAAAGATCAACGGAATGAAATTGTAAAAGATAACATAAACATATTGTTGACAACGGCAACAATAACGCTCGCTGGCAAAAGGCAAAAGGAAAAATGGAAAAGGGGCGCAACGCACAAAAGTAGGCAACGCATTTTGTGCCGCGGCGCTGCCTTAAGGATCTGCGCTCCTTTGTTGCTGCTGTTTACAGAATTTATCGCTTGTCGCAAAGTACGCACATTAATTACGCGGAGTTACTTTTATTGTGCGCGCAACAACGTGCAGCACGCAGTGCGACAGGAAATGAAGCGGGATACTGTTACACTCGCTCAGCTACAGCTACAGCTACAGTTACAGTTGCTAACAGTTAGACTGTAACTGTCAGCCATAACAAAGCGGGAGCCGCCCCGCATTAGACGCACCGGGAAAGTGCCCATAGTTATATAGACGACTCTGACATGCGTTGCTCAAGAATTATTGACACGACGCGGGCTTTTAATTGCAATACAACAACAACAACAACAACCATATTGATAGACACCCATCCCTTGTTGCGCAGTTGCATTGATTTTTCCGGCTAATTGTTGACTGTTGACTGACTGCTGGCATATTATTCATAAACTCGTTGTCTGATCTCCCACAGAAATACGTCAGCGACGATGAGGCCGCCTACGAAGAGGTGCGTCGCGGCCACGCCTGGGCCGCCCTCGTCATGCAGCCCAACTACACGGATTCTCTGGTCCAACGTGTCGAGGATGGACGCTATGCTGACGAGGCCACGGTGGATGCCTCCGACTTGGGCGTGCGCATGGATTGGTCCAGTAAGTTTATTAATTTGCAAACATTTCTCTTAAACCATTCGAAGGCATTTCAAAATTAATTAACAAAGTTTTTGCCAATTCGACAGCGATGAATGATTTATGCTTATTAGTGTCAAAATTAAACTAGAAAACGTTTCTACGAGTTAACTAAAAGTTTTTAAAGTTATCTTTTTAGTTGATTTTTAGTTTAGCTTTGGATATTCGCCTGCTGTTTACAAATTGAAAATTAATTTAACATTGCTTTCTCCCTTTCAATCGCAGATCAGCAAATATCAACACTCCTCTATCGCGACCTGCAGTACACGTTCTTCAACTTTTTGGAGGACATGCTGAGTGAGTGCGATGTGAATCCGAAGCTGGGAACTGTGCCCGTGCACTGGGCGCAGCCCATCTACGGCGATCGGAATCCAAACTTCACGGACTTTGCGGCCCCGGGCGTCATACTGACCATCATATTCTTTCTGTCGGTGGCCATCACATCGGGCGCGATGCTAATTGAGCGCAACGAGGGCATGCTGGAGCGCTGCCTGGTGGCTGGCATAACGGGACCAGAGATTTTGCTGTCGCAGGTTGTCACGCAGTTCACGGTGATGCTCAGTCAGACTGTGTTCGTGCTGATTGTCAGCTTCTACTTCTTTGAGCTGACGCTGGTGGGCGACATCTGGCTGGTGGTGGCGCTGTGCATACTCAACGGCCTCTGCGGCATGAGCTTTGGCTTTGTCATCGCCTGCGCCGTGGACACGGAGCGCACGGCCACATACGTGGCGATGGGCTCGTTCCTGCCCATTGTGATGCTGTGCGGCATTATTTGGCCCATCGAGGGCATGTATCCGCTGCTTCAGTTTGTGACCGCCTTCCTGCCGCTGACAAAGCCCACGGAGTCGATGCGCTCGATACTGCAACGCGGCTGGGGCATGGACAATCCCGCTGTCTACAATGGCTTCATTTCCATCTCGTCCTGGGTGCTCGTCTTCCTGGTGCTCACCATTCTGCTGCTCAAGTTCAAGAAGGGCTAGAGCCACCGCGGCGGCGCCCCGTGCGATTGCCCATGATTTTACTAGGTCGTAAGGGTAGCTCTTAGTCGTCCATTAGTCTAGCGAGTGTATGTCTCTTGTACAATGTGTTAGTCACGCTAATTATTCGACATAAACATAGACTTAAATTAAGGTTCCGGATGTCACATATTCATGGAAAGTTGTGCCTTTTACTCTTAAGGTTCCATACCAGCTTCACTCATCCTCTTACGCCCAATCAATCAACTACTTATGCCCATGCTCATACATACTACACACACTGGTCTATATTAAAACACGTACATGTATTGTGATTGTGAAAATCGAAATTAGTTTAGTAGCTTAGAGTATTAAGCGTTTTACACTTTCAAATGTAAAATTGGAAAACACATATATATATAAATAATTAATATTAATAAAATGTAAACTTCATATTTCACAAGTATATAAATAAAATGCATTTTAATTTACATATTTCACATATATACAAGACTTATATTTTTAAAATATATTTTTAATTTTTAAAAATTATTTTAAAATTCAAATTTCTATCCATTCCTACAGGGTAAACTGAAAGCACGTTGCTGTTCAAGCTTCATTGAGGGAATTTTATCCCTTTAGATCAATTAGCTCTTTAGCATTTCGAAAATTTGTTGTGGCAATTGCAGAGCTTGCAACATTGGCAGTCCCCGACCGCTGGTAGCCAATGACATTCATTATAAGCCAAGATAGGTAGCTCATCTGGCCCTTTCAATCAGTCTTTGATTTGGCCAATATTTATTTACAGAGAGCAGCTCCAATCACACAGCAATCCGTCAGCCCGGGCGTTGCTCACATTTGCTCACCCGGTGCTCCAGCTGCTGCTTAGACATGCGAATTATTTGTAAGTGCAAGACCCCTGGCAGGATCCTGGATTGGGAGAGTGGGTGGCCCAGCTGAGCTTGTTCGTCGGGCAGCTCGTTTTCGACACATTTCACATTTTGCGGCAAAATCAATTAAACCGGAAATGCTTGTCACAAGTGCTGGGAGTGAGCAGCGTGGCCCGTGCCACACGTGCAGCATCCGCCCGGCACAAAAAATCAACTTAACAAGCGGACAAAGTGCCAGCAGAGGAGTGTGATGGGCGTTCAGCTTTTGTTTCTGCTCCTATGGTGATCGAGTGCAGGGGACATGAATTAGAAAAAGCAACGGACAGACACTCACACACACACACACAAACACACACACACACACACACACACACACACACACACTGAGAGACTGGGGTTGGGGTGTTTCAGATGCATATGTAGGTCAGCACACAGAGGAGAGCCCCTGACTGCGGACTTGGCAGACCATAGCAGGAACTCGTAACGTGCTCCACATGTCGTCCGTTTCCGTGACTCGAACGAGAACTTGTTACAGGACTAGGACTTGGATTGAATGTACCAGTGGCAGTGCGATGGCCATGCTGCCATTGCTGCCCGCCATCCATCTACATTTTTGCTTTTAAGCCGCCTACAGCAGCCATGTTCCATCAGCTCAATGAGTTGCCGCTGTAAATGATTCAATCAGGCCCCGGTCTTCCTCTCAAAAATGTGTGTATTTCGAGTTAGATATCAGTCGGCATTCGGCAGCATTTGCTATTAATTTTCACATTCGTTTTGATGGGCTTTTGTTGTTGTAATTGATGTTTGACTGCCCTCAGTGATTGCTTGAGCGTAGCTAACGGCGGCACTCGAGCATCATCAATTGGAAAGTTCAGCGCTGCTGGAGAAACTCATTTTCATTTTTATGTGCTCTGCGAGATATTCCTGTTCCTGTTGCTGTTCATGTTCATGTTCATGTTGCCGGCGCTGCTTTCCACATAATTGAAAGTTCAAACTTTTCGACTTGCCGCTGAATTAATTTCTCAACTTCATAATTTCACGTGCTCCGTGAAGCCGTCATAACAACCATACAGACAGGCGGACAGGCGGACAGACGGACAGACGGCCAACACTTATTCAGTCAGTCAGTCAGCCAGGCAGCCAGCCAGCCAGCCAGATGTCTACAATGGCTCTTTGTTTGTGGCTGCTCCTTTTGCTGCACTCGCGCTGGGCTGGGCTGAGCTCCTTCAGATACTTTGGCTCGTCTGCGCCGTGAAGTGTTGCTGCTCCGCCAACTCGATGGCGTCTTAATTAATTGCTCAATTAATTTAATGTTCAGCCACCATCCGCCCCACACGCGCCCCATCTCCAGTCACCCACCCACCTCGCTCCCCAGACACTTGTTCAGCATGGCAGCCATTTGCTTCGCTGCTCAAAATGTCAATTGTCTGTTCATTTCAATGGGCTTCACTTTTGCAAATGTCAACGCGCAAATGCTTTGTGCTGCGTGCCATAAATTGGTCTGTAAGCTCTCCCCTGCCCCACACTATGTCTGCCCACCCCACAGAAATATCCTTTTTTGGGACTGGGCGTGGGGGCGGGTCTAAGTGAAAGCCTTTAAATAAATAGCTCACCATTTGCCATATTTGCGGTAGCATTCTGATAAAATGTAATCTGTTCAGGAATTTCACTTTAAGTGTCCTTTTGGCAGCTTACAAAGTTTCAGGTGCTTGCTAAGGGCCTCTGTAAGACGAAACTTTTACTGAACGAACTAAGGTATGCCGCAACTAGAAGTGGTAGGCCCTCAACCCCTTTCCCTAAGCAGAAGTTTTGCATCCATTGAAAATATACAATAATTAAAAATCGATAGGTAAACAACTTAGGAGCTGCTCCAACAAAGACACACTTTACAATATCAAATGGAGAAGTTTTCGAACTGCTAAAAGAAAGTTACGATAATGGGAAATATGAATTACATGCCTAAGCACTGAGCTTAATATTATGTCCAAGTTATTTTGCTTGATAGAGAAATTGTTGGAGAGTTTTTGATGTCTTAAGGCTTCAAGTTAATTTGTTTCACAATATATTCAACTATAGTATAACAGCAAACTGTAATTCAACAGCAATATTGATTTTCAGTTCAAAAACACTTTCATCGTCTCTGTAGGTCATGTCAATCAGGGTTAAGTGCTTGCACCCACTCTCGAATGCCCTAGTTTTATCGCATTCTCAGAAAAATGTATATAGATTGCCTTACTTAATTGTCTTTGAGCATTAATTGTTTCGGCTTGACCAGATTGCGAGTGTCAGCTGCACGCGGCCTGTTGACGGAGCAATCAATTTGCGATTGCCTCGATGGCAGTTGCGTTGCGCCTGTTGTTGCATTGCATTATTTATGTGAATTAATTGCCAGTTAATCAGCAGGGCTGTTTGTTTTTTAATAATTTCACCATTTATATGCCGATCTCTGTTTATTTGCCGTCATCAATTAGCCCGCTCGCTACTGACAACTGCCAAATTCGGAGAAGGCTTTAATTATTTAAGCAATTACCAGGAATTGCGAGCGACAACGGACCGTCTCACATATGCGGGCACTTTATTATTTTAATGACTGACATTAATTATTTGTGGTACATTATGAGCAATTTGTATAATTTACCAACAGCACTAACAGCAACAACAACAACAACAACAATAGCAGCAGCAACAACAACTGCAATCAGTTCAGCATTTGCCGCTTCCTGTCTGCTGTTTGCTTGTGTTTTGCTTCTGCAGCTGCCTCCCGCCTGGCAAATTGTATAATGAAAATGTCAATCAATTTTCCCACGATTTGCCAGCGAAGTATATGCTGTGCTGAGGTCCTGCTGCCCAGAAGCCACACACACACACTCACATACAGTCATATACTCACATCCAGCTGCCTGTCACACTCAATGCCAATTGCAAATTGAGTTCATCTGCTGGCGGCAAATATTGACATGACAGACACATTTTTATTTTATTTTATTTGCATTTTTATTTCACTCTTTGCTTATGCTATGTGCTCCCGCCATCTCTTCTGTACTTCTTCTCTCCCTATTTCCTTCTATATATATATATATATATATTTTTTTTTCTTTCTGCAATTTTCATTTTGCTTCATCTTTGCTTTGGCTTAGAGCAGCAGCCCAGCCCCTAAGCGTGATGATGTTTTTATTATATCCTCCTCCTCCTCTTCTTTTTTGCCTGTTCCTGACGTGTCTTTTGCTGACTGTCTACTCCTGTTTGCGCCGCGCCGGTAGCTGGGCGTGCGGCTCAAATGACATATTAATTTCCAATGGGGAAATGAAATAATATATAAATGAAGTCGTCGCCCGAGGCGGAGGCCCCCGGCTGATGTTGGTGGCTGGCAAGCCACTTAGACACACAATCGCATGCAAATAGCTGACGAAATCGAAATAAATATGATCAGACAAATCAACGCCTTTGTATATGGGCCGGGAGAGGGCGTGGCTGCCTAGTGGGGGCACACACATGCCATTACTCATACGCCGCGTCTGCCAGCTGCTTTTGCAGCTTTGAAATTTGTTTGGCACACAAATTAATATGCCCACATACACACACATAAATACTCAAATATATGCCCAAATATGCTTGGGAAATTTCGCGTATTTGATGAAGTTGTTGCCAAGCGGAGATCTTACCAAAAGATAATGCTGTCAGCACACCCACAGATAGACTGAGAGAGAGGGAGAGTGAGAGTGAGAGGGAGTGAGGACAGCTCCCAAGCGCCTTCATCAATCATTCTTCGACACGCTTCGCGCGCCTCCACGCGATGCCACCAAGAAGCCAAGGAGCCAAAAGGCTGCTGATGGACGGACGCAGGGGATGCCAAATGGCTTCGGCGGAATGGCCCTCAGTCAGCGGTATCTACGCTCTGTCCGGACCTCAATTGAAAAGCACTTTCAAAAGCATAATAACGATAAATATTTTATTGTAATGTGTTTTGCAATGTTTACATGCCGGCTGCGTCTACGCCACATGCGAGGGCCGCTTCACAGCTTTGATAGACTTGTCAAGTAATGGGTAAGTAAATTCGATCATTCACTTTATTTATTTTATCTGCTAGCCAAGGTTTTGTTTGTACGTAGAAACTTTTCAAATTAAAACTTAATTCAGGATTTTGTTTCCATTGAGCGCTCTTCAGCCTAATAGTAAGTCTCAAGCTGCCCTCGTTGCTCCCGTAAATGCTGGAACAGCATGTATTGCCGTTATTTGCCAAGGCATTGGCGGCTCCTGCTAGTGCTGCTCCTACTGCCATTGCTGCGGCTTCTGGCCTTAAATGCAGAGCGCTCAATTTGCAGCCACTGCCAACAGTGACGCTGGCAGCGACGCCGGCAGCGGCAGCAGCGTCGCTTTCACGCTGTTGCGCCCGCTTACGGGTAACACTTAATCGGCTTCCGG